AAGACAACCATGTAAAAATATTGTCAGATCATGCAATGTGACTATATCTTGAGACCAGCTTTCTTGCTCTTTGAGATATTGGTCAAAAATGCATGACAATTTCCAAAAAGTGTCCAATTTTTTCAGTATTTTGTGTTTTTCTCAATGAGGAATGGTCTGCATGACATTATTTATATATATCTATAAAGGTAAGGAAAGGGGCTACAATTGTTGTTTATGGAGCTAAGTGAGAGGCTGTGCTTCTGATACCGTGGGAATTTTAACCCAAAAAAGGAAATTCATCACAAATATATAGAGCATGCTATTATAGGTCACAAAATATAACTAACCATCCTCTTTCCTGAGATATATGCAAACAGGACTGTGGGAATATTTTACCATAAACAGAAAAATAGTTATAAAATTGGGAAAATTTGCTATAAAATGAAAAAAAAAAAAAAAAAAAAAGAATACCACACATTGTTGCTATGATATTGATGGCTAGGCTCAGAGCTCAGGGTCTATTTGCAAATATAGAACAAAACTCAGAAAATCATAAAGTGATTACATGACCAATTTCCTAATATTAAATTTAGAGTCCACAGAAAGGACTCATACATGCCATGCAAAGCACTGGCCCACACCCACAAGTATTTATAGTTGTACATCAGATTTTCAAATGCCTCTTGTGCATCATCGTTTTGGGTGGTGGGGTATATGCCATTGTGATATAGGATTGGAAGGGAATGCCCAGAGGCCATAGTCAAACAATGGTATATAGCTAGATTTGGATATCTTACATAATATATTGATCTTTTGTCTTGAACCACCATCTTGTCAGCAGTCTTGCCATCCTCTTGTAGTGCTTTGTATATCTGTACTTCCTACAGTATGCATAATCATGTTGGGCCAGCTGAGTATCTTGTAACTGCTCATTGCTCACTTATGGGGGTTGATCCCAGATCCACCCATTCTTGCCTCCTCCTTCCCTCTTGGCTTCAGCTATGTGAGAAGTTCAGAGTGAACGCTTCACAGCCATCAAAGCTTGGGGAAATTTCTCCAATTATAGATGCCTCATGTGAGCTTGATTCCAATGTTATTGATGCTTGTTTATCAGCAGCATGCAAGATTTGAAATTACATAAATTGGCTGCTGGCTGTTCATCAAAACATGGATTGTCATATCAACAATGCACTGTGTAAGTTATTATTGCCCTATTTCAGTCCAGATGCATCCTGCTCATTAATTATATAACACATAATACTACAATTTAAGTGATTAAATCCTCTGGAATATTACCTTTTTTCTGCATTTTGATTGATGTAATTTGGAGTAGATATGACAGAGTTACAGTATTGTCTCTCTGAATTGTTGGTATAACCTGGGTGATGA